TAAAGCCTTTACTACCAAGTTATCGAAATGGAGACGAAGAATATACTTTATTATTGCACAAAAAAGTTACAGAAGACGTCCGTAATTCTATAGCTTCAGGATTATCTTAAGGACCTTCTGAATGGATTGGAACGTGATTTTTGTAGGTTTTATTTGCATTTATCTAGAAAAACTGTTGATTGTCGGTCTTAAGTACCTATTTGATATTTTGGAAATATTTTATCTTTTTTGCTAGATTTAGTTTAAGGAACAGATTATTCATATGGTTTTACGTATAGTTTTTTTTAAATAATGGTTAATTACATACCCGCAATCCAAAAACAACGAAAATACTTTCAAAATACAATGCAAAATTCAAAGTAGGGTACTACTTAGGTTGCCCAAACTATAGTTACTTCCACACACCAATAACGAGCACATTTTAGTCGCGCTGTGTAAATCAATTGCGTTAATTACGCAGACCACATTGCTGCAAATCGGGTCGGTATTATCCCAACGTCCATTAGCAATAACAATTTCGCTCTCTTGTCAACATAAGTAGGTAAATATTGTACTGAATTTTAGAGAGATTTATTCAAAATTGAAAATCTAACCATTCAAGATTTTACGATATTACTATCGTGATTTTTACTTACAGACATCTTACTGTAAGGCGGTTTACGAGTACATCAACGGTCTAATTTAACACGACAGAAAACATGTGCAATGAAATTGTAGATCAGATGACTACATTCGAGCCGCGTATACAGTCTTTGTTTTCTTAATACTAGTCTAGGCACCGCGCTCCTATTATCCCCGTTTTCACTAATGCTTAATAAAAAGGGACAATAAAGTTCTTATGCTATAACTATTAAAAGTAACTGACATATTCCATAATTGACACAAAAGAATAACTTTTAATTATGCCTTTATACAATATAATATTATGTTACAGGGTAAAAATTGTGTTCATCATCATCATCATCATCACATCAACAGCCTTTAATAGTCCACTGCTGCACCTATGTCCTAAGGAGAGATAGGCTTCTATGGAGAGGCCTATCTCTCCTTAGAAAGGAGGTTAAAAATCGTGTTGGCTTAATCAAATTCAATGTTCAAGTTTCCAGTAGCAAATGACATTTATTAATTCTTAATTCTGATCACACCTATGAAAAACCATGAGACTTTACTTTAGTACTTCTCTTCCGTACTTGTAATTAAAAACGCACGTACTTTACTACGGCCATTCCCAAGCAAGTAGACTAAAATAACCGAAGAAATTACTAAAAAATTATACTCAATTATAAACTAATAAGTAGAAAATAATTTTCCATATGATCAAAAAGAAAATCATTTCATCTCAATCAAAATTTTTGTAAAAATATTTTATTGACAGTTATTGGTAAAAGTAAAGTTATTGTATTATAAAAAAAACTTAAAAGGAACCGGCTTTCACCATACCTGACTATACCTAATTTGTTTTTACTTTTTTTATCATTAATGTTGATTATTTTCTCATTGAGACTAAAAAAGTAACAAGTAAGTCATAAACATACACCTCTTAGTATATGCAAAATACACTACCGTATAGATAGGTATGGAGATCCTGACAGATTAATCGGCCAAATTTACCAAATTATTGTATTTTCATTGGTCCTTAATAAGTGTGCGAAGTTTCAATGTAATTTGACGTTTTGAAGCGGGTCAAAATCACGTTCCAAGATTTTGTTACTTTCATAGAAACATACATACATATCAAGCTAATAAAAGCCTATTAAAAATTATTATGTAAAATGAAATAAGTTTGAGAAGCAGTAAACACAAAATTCTGAAAAAAAGATCTCTTGCTGATTTACCTGAAGGAACGTGTTTGAATTTTAGTCTTCTGTAGAGCCTTAGAATATTCAATGAGTACCTAAGGAATACGCTGTGAACTGCTGTGAATAACACTAAAACTTTAGATTAAAGCAGAATATGTTCGAACCGATAATGGACAAATGTACATTAACAAAATCAAAGCTCTGTTAGCTATAAAGCGCTTCGTTTAAAATCCCTTGCCTAAGCGGCTTTGATTTGTCGTGATTGTATTTCACCTAGTTACAGAAACAATTGGCACATTATACATTCAGCATATTTAATGTTTTTTATAGAAACGTTATAACATAGTCAATGTTTTACATAACTTACTTTAAACATCATGTATATATGTTAGCTTGCCACCGCTCCGGTCATGACGACCACGACCACTCTGACAAGAGTGTGACGACGGAGAAGAAGAAGAAGAATATATGTTAATGTAGATAAAACAAATAACTTCTGAATTCAAAAATACTAGTACATCCATAATAATATTAGAAATATGAAAGTGCGTCTGTCTGTCTATCTGCCTGTCTGTTACCTCTTCATGCTTAAACCGCTGAACTATATATAAATTATTGTATAGATTACTTTACTTTTTAACTACTATATTAAGTCTTCATTGTCATTACTTAGTTAATCTATGTATTTTAGTTATTGTTTCGGTGACCGGTAAAATGTTATTTTGTATTTTCATTTCAGTGGCTTTTGTATTGTCTTTTTGAGAATAAATGATTTAAACCGAGAACCGATTTAGATGGAATTTGGTATAGAGATAGTCCGAGTCCCAGAAAAAGACATAGGGTATTTAGTTTTATCCCAGTAATCATCCTGTAAAAGGATGAAAGGGGGGTGGACATTTGTATGTGGAATCAAAAACCACTGAATCGACTTACATGGACTTAAGGAAAGACTAAAAGACGAAAAAAGGACCACTCTTGAGTCTAAATGCGGAAACTGAAGCCTACAACCAATACCAATACCTTAAGAAAGACATATGCTACTTTTTACCACATTAACTGACATACATGCGTGCGGAGCCGCGAGCTAAAGCTAGTATTCAATAAATACCTACAAGTATTAAACGCACTCTACTTTGTCGCAGGTATCATTTGAATCTAGTAACAATATCTGATGCATAGCAGCAAAAAAACGTATAACATTCCGATCGCAATTCGACACTGTAGATATCTCAAACAAACATTCGTGAGCGTTGCGGCTCATTCTTTAACCTTTATTTCATTATCATGACTCCCAATTCACGCCCCGGACCGCCCGCTTTTATTGCGACCTAAAACTCCACTACGTAATCTATTGCCGATTCCAAATGTGTTAATATGATATATATCCACGACTCCGGAACACAAAAACTAAACGTTATGGCAATCCTGCAGTAGTTCAAATAACCTGTCTGCTTAATAACGCTTCATAATAATGTAAATGGCATTCATTGATACAGTGAACTATGAATTGGTAGCATAAAATTTAAGCGATGAATTAACCAGAGCACGACGGATTACTTTAATAACAACGACAGAAAGTACGAGCAATATTTTTGTGTTTATCTCATTTTTATGAGTTTAAGTAGGAAGCATGAGGTGGCGAGAGAGATAGGGATTTAATTGAAGGCGAGGCGGTTATATGGGAGGGGTGGGTAGCCGCAGCCGCCCGCCGGGCACGCTGCGGGGGTAGCAAAATAATAAAAAAATGAAGCTTGCAAACCGATCCCCCGCGAGCTCGGATGCCGTGAAAGTGGCACGCCGTGGATAAATGAAGCTTTTTTTGTTTGTAGAATACGCCTAAGCCTGGCGTCGCTCCACTTTCGTATTGTCAGTCGAATTCTATGGATGTTAGTTCATTTATAGTCTCGTCCCGCAGCTCCAGCAGCGTTATTAAATTTATGTCAACTTTGCATCGTGTTTTTAACACAAATTACTATTTTGACGCTTTCACATATGCCATAAATTTACTCAATTGTTTCATACATAACTGAGTAATATTACTACTTGGTAATAATAATTTTTTAAATGTTCCAACCAAAAATAAATATAAATTATTTTCTTCATGTTTTATTCACAAGGATCTCGTTCATTGGGGATTAAGAAGAATAAAGACTACTATAGACTTAACAATAGAGACAACTACATAGTTCATTTAGTGCGCAATGTCAAATGGATGACAACCGTATTTACTGCGTTTAAAAGCTCAGAGTTGATTAGCCAATTGAATGTGAAGGGGGCTTGTTCGTCACTTCTGCGATTTAAGTGACAGTTTTATTAATTTCTCGCTACTCATCCCTATTTTCCACCCTACTCAGTTTCCGACACCAATGCACTGGCAGCATATGGTACCGGCAGTGTCTACACATCAGACACCCCATCAGAAATGTTTTAGTACAGACTTTAAAACAGTGCTTTAAAATTAATACGTTTTAGATTGTAATTTAACTTGTTTGAAACGAAATGATTCTAATTAAATCAACGTAAAATCTGATTAAAACCATTAACAGCAAAATCGAGAGATTGAAATCATCCATGCAATAAACTGAAAACACACACAACTGTTTTACATTAAAATGGGATTATTAATGTTTTATTTAATGGCATGTCGCCGTACACGACTAGGTAAACATACGACACGCTTTTTGACTTAACTTGATTGAAATGAATATGGATAGTTAGTAATAAAGATAGGACAACGGCGCATGGTTCAACAAATGCATATGACTGTGTCTCAGATAAGCTACAGCTTAACGCTGACACAGCAGTCGATGGCTTATCTCGATTTCAATTATTATGCTAGCGCTTTCATTGGCTCGGTGTGACGATCAAGCGGGAGGGCACGATAGGGATTTGGGGCGGTCTCCATTCGTTATCAGAGATCTCTCCCATTCGGACTACCATTATGCGCTTAATTATTATTTCTAAAAATTAGCACTCGTGCATTACTTCGGGATATATAAGAGTCTTTAAAGAAGAAGTATTTGTATGGATATTTTCTAATAGCCTTTTGTTTTAATAGGTATGGGATGGACTTAAATGGCGCGAGACGAAAAAATGCTACTCGGGAAACTACCAGCACTTTAAAAAGCGTGGCTGAACGAGCACAAGAAAAACCCTTACCCAACCAAGGGAGAGAAGATAATGTTGGCAATCATCACCAAGATGACGCTGACTCAGGTGTCGACATGGTTTGCGAACGCGCGCCGCCGCCTCAAGAAGGAGAACAAGATGACGTGGGAGCCACGGAACAGGGTCGACGATGATGACAATAATAACGATGATGATGATCACAAGAGCACTGATGGAAAAGATGGACTAGGTATGTATTACTGCAGCCAATTAATATTAAATTTAACTTAAACCTACTAAAGCTAGTTAAGACATAGCCGTGGTATATTGTTCTGAAATCAATTATTTTATTTTAGATGGCAAAGATTCAGGAACTGGATCCAGTGAAGATGGCGATAGGCCCCAACAGAGATTAGACATGCTTGGTCAAAGAACCGAGTCTGAGTGGTCTGAATCCCGCGCCGATAGCGGCCCTGAATCACCTGAGCCATATGAAAGACCAATTCATCCTGCCTACCAACACTTGCCTTCCCGTGCACACCTGGCAGCACACCTGCTTCTGCTAAGCCCAGAATATGGTCTCTAGCGGATATGGCGAGCAAAGAGGGCGAGGCGCCAGCACCACCCTCATCTGCATCTGCCTTCTATCAGACGGCGGCAGCGGCGGCAGCAGCCCGACTCGCTCACCCTTACAGTCGACCAGAGCTGTATCGCGGCTTGTATCCCCCGACCCACCCGGCGGACGCTCTGCTTGAGTATTCTCGGTCGCTGGCCATGGCCGCTCCTGCACCTGCGCCACCTGCACCCTCACCATCCTCCTCATCAACCTCGTCGCTGGCCGAGCCGCCGCCTCCTCCTCGCGCCTGACCACCAGCCCCCCGCCCCGCCATTGGCGCATCGACAATAACCGCGATCTCTATCGATGAGTGCCGTGAGGGCCTTCGAAGCCTGTAAATAGCGATAGACTAACTAATATAAATATGTATACATACGTATAAATACGTGATAATAATGATTATGCACCGGTAGAGAAGCTTAGAATTGTGATAGTGGACACATAATATGCGAGCGGTGTGACACTGCCGCCGCCGCCGCCCGCACCGTGAGGTTGACAACTCGCAATCGACGTCGACGCGCGTGCGCCGACCGACCGACAATACTAGGTGCTAATACAAGTTGGATCTTGCGACATGTTGCTGTAGTTATTATTGGAGGTGGTAAAAAGAGGTGATTTCATTTAAGAATAGGTATTAATATGTGTTAAGTTTCTTATAGATACGACACTGTTTTAGATTATTATTTTGTATGTAGTGTAAATTATTATTTTCAAATATTCTCCGTATATTTAGTGCCTAATTACGTCCAGTGTTTCTATTGTTTGATAGTTTCCTAAAATAGCTAACATTCGAATTTTAATATTTATTGATACGAGGTCAGTAGTATAACGAGTCGTTAATGTAAGTTTTTTATCTACAATATTTCAATAATAATTTATATCAGATTTATTGAGGACTTCGGCAAATCTGTGTAGGTTTTTCTAGTCAGAAGACTATGATAGTCTGTTTTTAATAATTATGAATTTCATAAATGTTTAACACAGACAATCAAATAAATAACTATATAAAAAATAATAAACTATTACTAACTAATAAATTTATCACTTTAGTTACTCTTCATTGCGCGCAAAGTAAGGCTGGCAAGGTGGAATGCAATAAAACTAAATACATTTTCACTACTAAAACATTACTAACAAAGCAACTAAACAACACAACACTTAAATCAGACCTAGACTACTATGTGAGTAAAGTCGAAAACTTTTAAACCTTGTGGGACCAACGGCATGTGAAATTTGGATAATTGGAGACCGTAAAAAAGTTGCTTGTTGTTGTACATAATTGTACAAAGTATATTGTAAAATTAAAGTATTTACTTTTAATTATAGCTTTTGTTCTCGTAACTTCTTCTAAAAAAATTAAACAAGCTGTTACATACGTATCCATGTACATAAATCTATTTAATTATAAATTAACTTCATTTATATTTTACAACGTATGACGTTGTAAAATTTAAGTTAAGTTTGGCTATATATAAATGAAAACCAAAAACGGATACGATTTTATCAAATTTACCATGCATAATAAAGTACATGGTATAAAGACATTTATGATTAAAGCGAATGGTCCATAGATTAAATTTAAAGAATTAGCCCGTTTTATCAATAAATATTTAAATGTGCTTGTTTCATTAATGCGTCTGTCACAAAAAAAATTGCAATATGGCATTTAAATATTCATAGTTGTGTTCTCACTGCTATATCGAGCTCATTTGTCAATAGTTAATTTACGAAGCTGCAAAATAATTTTATTCTCTAATTATACCCTCCATAACAGTATTCTTAATTGAAATTATATTTGAAATTCACGTTGATACATTAAAATTTAATGGAGAACAAAAAAGACAGGTCGGTAAAGGTAGACGCTGAAAGGATTCGTGACGATAGTATTACATAACTGAGGACTGGAGACTGGTTGTTAAAGAAGCTAGCACGCTCAATAGTTTTGGTAACTCGACGATTTCACAATGTTGTCGTCATTGATAACTCCAATGACTACTACGTACTTAACTGCGTGGGTCGTCATAAACAATAGTTAACTAATATCGTTTACAATAGTTGCCAGCCTTACTGCGAACTGTGTTACTATGAATATCACAAAACATTTACCCAAGATTTGTCACCCTAGCATTTTTTTAAATTAAATAAACAATGGCCTTGTATAATTGATTAGAAATGTTTAAGAATGTAAATTTACATCGTCGATTTGTTTCTAACATTGTTTATTATTTTTCAATGTTGTAGAGACTGAAAGTCCAAAATTGAGTCTATAGTTTTGTACATACGTCACTGTTGTAAGTATATATTGTAATGATAACGTGAGTATTTAAGAGAGGTAAATGCAATAAATTTTCTGTATTAGAAGTCGTTTCGATGTATATATAAATGTACGGAATTTAAGACGTCAATCTTCAAAGTAGTTTATAAACAACGAAATAAATTCGATTATGCATAAAACCCCGTGACACGTCAGTGTATATTTTTCAAGATTATAATTACGAGTATAGTACATTTCTAATGTTCTCATTGAATATAGTGTGAACGTTCTAGTATCTTCGTAGTGTCATGAACAGGCTGTAGTATTGGACACTATATTAACGTAAATGGGTTAAGTTAAAAGCAAAGTAACTCTTCTTAAAATTATTAAGTATTTTACTTATTATTTTGTTTTGCTTAAAACATCGTTTAACTGTTTCCCCAGAAAGGTGTGTGAATAGATGCAATAAAATTTAATACAGAAATATTTTTGGTTGTTTTTATTATGCCTTGAACTACTAATCTGCATATACCTTTCCTTGGAGTTTCACCTAGGTTTTGATGACCTTCTTTCATGAATACTACCTATTACATATAAAAAATATTACGTAAGTTTGACTGATGGTCGAAACTTCAACTTCATTAGTAAAGTAGACTTAAATTTTGACGAAGCTGCTTATTAGGTATCTCGGTGACTTTGTGTACTGATCTACAAGTTTTAAATTTTCTTAATTTAAAGACGATTTCGAATGGTGTGATGGAGTTTTATAAAATCATGATATTGAATTTGAATTTCTATCAGGCGATTACTACATTATAATCGGCTGAATGCTCCCTCATTTGTCATAGCTTAAAAAAATTACCTGGTCATAATTTTACACGACTTCAACGCCTCACTGAACTCAAAATAACACTACAGTTTACAAACGAGGTGTTGTAACCAATTAACAAACTTTTCGCTCTTGCGCTAAATTAAGTTAATATCTAACTAGATTAACTAAATAGTCGGGCCCAAAATTGACTAATACATATTTAGTTTACTCATTCGATTGTTCAAGAGGCCCACTAACCTTTACAGGAACATCAGGTTTCACACTTTTGGCTATTAATATGAACGTGATTAATTCCTTTCAATTAAGAATATATGTAGCACTACAGCCTTCAGAACAGAAAAACACTGATATATGTGATTTTGGTAGTTGTGACATGAAGTAGGTACGAAGGTGGGCAAGATCGTTACGTGTATTATACATAAATATAATAAAATTCAATGTGATCAAATGTTTGCTTTGATTTGTGGATCAAATGTTTCGGAGTTTGGGAGTTTTCGATGTACAATATGTATATCCATATTATACATAGAAAACACACTTTACAAAACTACATTTACAAAACAAAAAGTATGTAAGTATTATATCAGTCAATCTAGCTTTCATAGTACAAGCTCTGCTTAGTTTAAAACTAGACGGCGTTGTGTTGAAAAATATTATTAATTGTATCTTGGCTGGCCGTGGTCACAAGCTAACTAATTGAACAAAAGGTATGTAGATATGTATTACCTGATGGTGTTAATTCCTGTACATATATGTATGTGCGGGAAGCTGTGTTCTGGAATGACACAACAATATATAGACATTGTATATTCGTCCTGTTCTTATAGAAAGACGAAATGTGTCACCCATTAAATTCCTTCGTCAGTTTCAATATTTATAATTAAGAAAAGCTATTACTCTACAATGAACATAATACAAATTCTAAAGCAAAGCAAACATTATACAAATTCTTAATACCAACTAGGACTACAATTGAATTTCATCATCATCATCTCAGCCGAAAGACGGTCCACTGCTGAGGGACATGGGCCTCACCAGTGCTCACCACAGACAACCGATCCTGTGCTACCCGCGTCAACGGCCACCGGAAATTCAATTCATAAATTATATTTTCCAAATATTGAATTTATGAGATCCGAAAATTAAATCACATAATAAGAAGAAAGAAGTTTCGAGAAGTACCTATTGGACAGTAAACCTAACGAGTAATTTAGTCACTAGGTCGTAAGGTTGTTATGCTATACTATTTAGTTAAATTAAGAGCATACTTCTACAATACGAGTTCAAGTACTGTACTTCCTATGCTAGTGAAAATAAAAATACACACTTTATGCATGCAATATACATCATGTTTATTCAAGCTGAGAACGTACTCGTATCTATAAAATGAGAATGAAAAGTTGTATTGTGTTGTATTTTCCTGTAGATACTGACTTTTTAGATTTTGTAAACTTTTTAAGAGTACTACTGAAAATAATACTATTAAAATCTGCAGTTTACCAACCGTCTCATTTCATTAAAAAAATTGATTATCTGTCATCTGAAGTTAATTTAACAGTTAAATTCTGATGAATAACTTACAGAACCTACCACTATTTAATTACAGAAAATTTGATATTCAACAAGTTTTTGCTGTTTGCCGACAATCTTAGTGTTAATCTCAGACCAAAACAAATTAGATGGACAGAGTGCCGCGCTTCCACAGTGAAGTCGGATATAGGAAGATGATTTGAAATAGGAAGCTGATCGTTCATCTGTTCTGTATCGTTTTTTTACTGAAAAATGCCTTCTTGTGTTATAAAGACTTGTAAAACAATTATTTAAGTAATAAAAAGCAATGTCACATGTACGGAATTAATTTTCTGTTATTTGAGCAAAAGAAAAGTTATAGTTCGTACTTGGAACACAAAAACTCTCCTCGCCAGTGGAAACAGCCGAAGTAGTGAGCAAAACCCCCGATATGTGAGTGTATTTTTTGGTATGGTGGTGTTGTTTAACTTTAAATTCCAGTTGATTAAATTATTTATTTCAATCGATAGTTATGTCAAACAGCTCTCTATAATCACGTTTTTACTATATTTAATATTGTGTCTAAAATAGTTTTAATGTATTCTTTCCTCTGTCCCATAAGTATTACTAGCTTCTGCCCATGGCTTCTCCTCACATAAAAGCATTTTTTTCTATCCCT